GAAAGTGGCCGTCTAGGGCAGGAGAGCTGCCAGCCTGGCCACCCAGGACCAGGTGTGCATGAAAATCAAGGGGGTCCACTGAGACCCCCGACACTGAGCCCTGAGCTTACAATGGCCGTCCTGGGTCAGACCAAAGGTCCATCTAGCCCAGTAGCCTGTCTGCCAACAGCGGCCAACCCTAGGGACCCCGGAGGGGATGGACTGAAGACAGTGACCAATCCATTTGTCTCGTGCCATCCCTCTCCAGCCTTCCACAAACTTTGGGCAGGGACACCACTCCTACCCCCTGGCTAAGACTACTCCATGGACCCAACCTCCATGACTTGATCTCACTTCTCTTTAAACTCTGTTCTAGTTGTAGCCTTCACAGCCTCCTGCAGCAAGGAGTTCCACAGGTTGACTCTTTGCTTTGTGAAGAAGAACTTTCTGTTACTAGTTTGAAGCCTGCTACCCATTCCTTTCCTTTGGTGTCCTCTAGTCCTTCTTTATGGGAACTCATGAAGAACTTTTCTGAATGCACCCTCTCCACCCAACCCCTGCTTTTAGAGACCTCTATCCTGTCCCCCCTCCGTCTCCTCTTTTCTAAGCTGAACAGTCCCAGTCTCTGTAGCCTTTCTTCATCTGGGACCTGTTCCCAACCCCTGATCATGTTAGTTGCCCTCCCCTCTCCCAGCCTTTCTCTTCCCCTCTCCCACCTCCTTTTCCCAGTCTCCCCCAGTTTTGTTCAATAAAGACAGATTCCATTTTTGAACACATTTGTCCTTTATTTTGTACATCAAGAAAAGGAGCTAGGGAAGGGTAAGTGGAAGGAGGTGAGGGAGGAATGGGGTACGAGCCCCCGATGGGGATGACCATGCGGGCTTCTGGGGGTGGAAGCTCTCCTGCAGCTCCCCAATTGCCCCCTCTGCCCAGATGGCAGCCTGCGGCAAGTGCAGCCGGGCTGATGGCCAAGTAGTGTGATGTGCCCAGTGTGAGTACTCCGGGCACTCCAAGCCAGAACTGCTTTGCAAGCGGGGCACCCCTTAGAACTGTGTGTCCGGGGTGGGGGTCGGGACCCTTTAAGTGCAGCCCTCGGCTAGCCTGAGACAGCAGCTCCACGCTCTAAGTCCTCCTCTGATGCCCTGCCGGCACTGCTTCCGGCCATCCTTAAGCCCGGTTCAGGGTCCACTTAATGTGGACATGCTAGTTCGAATTAGCAAAACGCTAATTCGAACTAGTTTTTAGTTCTAGACGCGTTAGTTCGAATTAGGTTAGTTCGAATTAACTAATTCGAACTAAGTTAGTTCGAATTAGCACTGTAGTGTAGACGTACCCTCTCTGTGCATCTACATAGCACCCTAAAGTCAAAATAAGAGATGCAATTTGCACTATGCAAATTGTGTATCTTATTTCAAATCTATTTTGAAATTTGAAATTTGGCACATCTATACAGTGCCAAATTTCAAAATAATGTGCTATTTTGAGTAATTCCTTGTCCCTCATGCAAAGAGATTTACTGCAATGGTGCGCCTGTTATTTCAAAAAATATTTCAAAATAACGGGCCACTTGTGTAGATGTGGTGGAGTGTAGACATACCCTAAGATGCATAAAAATTAAGCGCATTGTGTTCGAGAATCATTTGTGTATACAATCAGAAACAATTAACTTCAGTATTTCAGAGCTTGAGGGTGCACAGTATAGCTCCAGAAGCAATAAATCAATTGAGCAAGCACCGAAAGAATCCTGGAGTTTAAGAATAATAAATAATCTTTCAATAATGCTTATTCATTTTAATATTCTAGGTATTATTAAAATTGAGTTCTGATAAAATTGCATCATATAAAAATCTGAAATAGCCTGCGGCCATACTCTCTCCTGACCTAGACACCTAGGCTGCATCTGCACTGAAGCTGTTCTGAACTTCTCCCACTAGTGCAGCTACAGCTATGCTGGCATTCGTGACTGCACTCTTAGGATTTGGTCATTTGATGTTTTTATCACCACAGCTTGTCATTCTGCTCAGGAGTGGAGCTAGCATTCATCATTTCCCAGTTTAGTTGTGTTCTGCCACACAGGTAGATGAATTCTCTATCATCTTCTGGTGCCATAAATGTAGTCTAATACTATAAAATCTAAGAACTTGATTTAACTTTGGATAACTCATTCTATAAGACTGCTATAACAATTAAAAGCAACTGGATAAACTGTCTAATTTCTGTACGAATTTCTGTTTTTCTTGGCCCCAGATTGAGGAGTAGCCATTTTCCAGGACGCCTCTTTTGTGTGGCAAGACAGATGATTAGCAGTGATCAAATAGCCAAGTTCACATTAGTGAGCCAGCAGGCAGCTTGGAAAATAGTTTATTGTAAATTCTGAAATGCACTGGCAAACAACTGAAGCAAGTACTCACTTACAATGTGGTCCGTAATCTTCCCAAAGTGTAAGAAATGCCAACATCTAACAAGCAATGTTCTGAAATGGTTCAGTGTGGACCACTGTTTCCAGGATAGGTGGAAGTCTGAAAGTCCTCTTGTGGAGTTGGCAGTAAGGGGGTTATTCGGGACATTGGCATTATCTCAGAATTGTTTCCTGCGTGCCTCAGGATTGTGTGGTTATGCTTTATGTGCTTTAGCTGAATCCCAATAAGACTTGTGAGATTTCAGACATATCTTTGGGAAGTTCTGGAGGTCCTCAACAATGTCCGTGTCCTTCTCCCTGAGAACTTTTGGAAGATAATCATACATAACATGGGACAGACCTCACACATTAAGATGGTACACATGTAAAGCAGATGTATGTAAGGATTTTCTGCTTCTAGGTGGCCTGCTTGGACATCTGACACACAGGTCAAAAGACTAAGATTATATTGCTGTACTGCTAAACAACGTTGCTTCAGTTGACACTTGGCTTTATAAGGTATATAGCATGCTCATAAGTGAACAAGATCTTCTTAACAAAGCACCTTACAGAACATTTGTTTACATAAAACCTTGTTCTATCCAAGGTACTATTATCATGGAGGACCTGTTAGCTGTGTTGCCATTTGGAGGTACTTTTGATCTGATAGAGTTAAAAGGCTCTACTCTCAAAGAAGCATTTGAGCACAGTGTGCACAGATACGGAAAAGGAACTGGCGAGCTGCTTCAGGTTGGGGGTTAGTTATGGTTTTTTGTATTATTATTTTCCCTTCTTTCCAAGATAGCAATACTTCATGCTTCCCTTATTGCCATTTACACCTCTGGGGAACCAGCTGCACTGCCTAAACAAAATTGAAAATGCATTTATCTCCATGCTAGTTCTATACACCATACTGTTGCACGGCTTCTCTCCTTCATCTCTAATGACATTCAGATGCAAGTCAGTGTTGCTGGAAGCTGCAGAACTAATGTCTGCCCTTTTGCTCGGGCTACCAGATTTTTTGCCTCTGCGAGGGAACAAATTAGTGGCTCAGATTCTCCTGACCATTTTATTTTAAACTTTAATTTGTATTCACTGTTGTGTGGCTGTGACAGTCATCCTCCCCTGGATCAGGTAAATAGCAGCGTAAGGGTCTCAACCACCTGCATCTGTACCTGTGCTCCTCTGCAGGACTTCTTTGCCCTGTCAGAGCTGTCCCACAAGCACCTGGCTAAAACTAGGTCATAGAATCATAGAATCCTAGGGCTAGAAGAGACCTCAGGAAGTCATCGAGTCCAGCCCCCTGCCCAAAGCAGGACCAACTCCAACTAAATCATCCCAGCCAGGGCTTTGTCAAGCCGAGACTTAAACACCTCTAGGGATGGAGATTCCACCCCCTGCCTAGGTAACCCATTCCAGTGCTTCACCACCCTCCTAGTGAAATAGTATTTTCTAATGTCCAACCTAGACCTCTCCTGTGATGTTTCCTGTGTGAGGTAGTGCTTAAGTATGCTACTGAGGACAAATAGTGCCCTGCCTGCTCCCAATCAGCTGATGCTCTTGCTGCCAGGATATAGGGCTGAGTCAAACCAGGCTGCACCATCATGGGGTTACAGAGGTGTAAGTAGGAGATCCCTTCCCCCACTCAAAATTATTCTGAATGTTTGAATGCCCAGTGATGTAATGAGCATCACGGAGACGGGATTTCTAATATGCACTAATGCGCTGCACATTAACTAACCCATGTAGCCTTGGCTAGTGCTTGCAAAGAGTTCCCTAGTGTGTGAGGACAGCACTAGGGTAAAGCGCCCTAGGGCACTTCTCAAGTTCCAGCAGGGTCCACGTGGACTAACTGTTGTGCAATGCATTAGTGCATGTTGGAAATTCTAACCTCGTCATGCCCATTACACCATGGTGTAGACAACCTGAGTAAGGCCCCAAGTGGTACTAGATTGCTCTTACTATTTAAAGAGCTCACTCAAGCTCTATAATTGAAAGCAGTGTAAAGGATTCACAGCTCCTGCCAGTTGCTAGCGCGTTCTGTGGGAGCCACATGCAAGCCCCTTTTAACTGCTTTTATTTAAAGGGCTTGCGCCTTCCCTGCAGCTGCCACCCAACACGCTGCCTGACAGACACGGGGAAGGTGCGAGCCCTTTAAATAGAAGCAGTTGAAAGGGCTCGTGTGTCTCTGGCTCCCAGGAAATGCACTAACGGCGCCAGAGCTGGGAGCCCTTTTAACTGTTTCTATTTAAATGGCTCCTGCCTCCTGGGCAGCTGTGTTGCCTGGCAGCCCCCAGCAAGAGGGAGCTCTTTAAACAGAAGCAATTGAAAGGGCTCGCAGCTCCTGGGAGTCAGGGACGTGTGAGCCCTTTCAACTGCTTCTATTTAAAGGGCTCGCACCATCCCCATTACTGGCAGGCAACAGCCCTAGGGAAGGCACAGTTAAATAGAAGCAGTTGAAAGGGCTTGCATGTCCCCGGCTTCCAGGCAACACACGAGCAGTGAGCCCTATAAATAGCAGGAAATGACCTTGCAGGTCCTGTCTCTGGCTAACATGATGACTGGGAGCTGCTGCTATTTAAAGGCTCCGCTCCTTCAGTCTGAGGGCAGCCTGCAACCAGTTAAAAAATATTTGAAGTGGCCTCTGCTCAAAAATTATTGCCTACCCCTGCTCTAAAACAAAAGAAAGAACTAGATAAATTCATGGAGGATATGTCCATCAATGGCTATTAGCCAGGATTGGCAGTAGGTGTGTAAAAACCCATTTAATTGGTTAATTGATTAAATATTATGTTTAACCAGTTAACTGATAAAGGGAGGATGACGATTGCCGGTTCTGTTAATTCCTTCTGGAGCATCTAGAGTTGGCCACTGTTGGACGACAGGATCCTGGGCTAGATGGACCTTTGGTCTGACCCAGTGTGGCTATTCTGATGTTCCACAGCACACTTTGGTAGGAAGGTACCACTGAATTGGTTCCCATGTAACTCTTTACAAATCTCTTGTTATACAGTAAGAACATCCCTTTCTGCCCATTATTCTATATAATGATGAGCAGTTTTAATTATTCCTAAAAATGGGATTTAGACTAGATGACACTTGTGGTCCCTTCTAATCTTATAATTCTATTATTCCTTTCCTTTCCCCCCCACTTCTATGATGTACTACTTGCTACTTCCCTTTTGTGATGAATGAGGAGAGGAACTAGGAAACCGAGAAACTTCATCGTGGGGCATGAGTCACTTGTAGGTTTAAATTAGTATAAATAATAAATTTAACATCCCTAGTCTCATTCACATCTGAAAGTATAACAACAGCCTTAACCCTCCTGATGATCCATGCGGGAATAGCTGCACCAGATTCGGTCTCTCCACCCCTCCCCCATGCTTTGGCAGTTCCAAAGCAGTGGGTACAGTACTCACATTTATTTAGTTTATCTCTTTGTTATAGTAGTGGCTTGAATGGCACTTTTGACTAATTAGGGCACATGACTCTAAGGAGGGTAAAATGACATTTTATTTAAAATTGACTTAAGAGATCTATTTGGCTTCTCTGCAGACTCCAGTTTCCTGACCTTTGGCATACAAACTTAAATCAGTCCAGTGGATTCCTTCACCTGTCCTTTCTCTCCTGTCTATTTGTCACAGTAATACTATACTATGATGTGTTGGTGATTGGGAGGTACACTAATACCTATATTGGATTATTAGTTGTTTCCTCTACTAGAGTAGGGATTACCTTCACCTATTTTTACATCCTTTAGTGCTAGCTCTGCTGCTTGCTCTGCCTTTAAATTAAGTCTCCTAAATGTGGTGGGTAGCTTTCATTATCTAGCTCTGCATTTTAATACTTTATGAATCACTTATGGCCCGAGTTATACCATAACTACTTAAACTTCCATACATACTGTATTGGGAGGCCAAGAAATCCATAGAGCATAGATTGATTTGAGATAGTAGCTACAGTAGAAAAAAAGAACATAGTCATTACCTGTAATAGTGTTTGCATGTCTGTCAGCAAATGCCTTCATTCTAGTTTGCTTCCACCAGTAACATTTGCCACATACTGTAATCTATATTCCTAGTGCGCCTCCTTGTTAAAGTGAAAGGGGAAGTATCTGATCTCCAATATCATCATCCCACCCACTTGCCAATGATCTGCTTGTGTGTCTCAACAGTCAGGAGGGAACCAAGAAAAGAAGGGCATGGAGCTAGAGATGGGATGCTCCCTTTGTTTTCATGGTTCCAGCTGATGTGTGTAAGATGGGAACAGGGCAGAAGGTTATTTACAAGAAGAAAGTTCTCTTTCAAAAGTCAGGCTAATTCTCACTTAAGGAAGTGTAGAGTGTTAGTTTACCCTAGCAGTGTGGTGGATCTGAGAGGCTCAGTAGCACTATTTTAAAGTGATTGCTCAAATGTGTTTTCTCTTAGGCATTCACGTGGTGTACGATCTTTCCAGACCACCAGGAAGCAGAGTTGTCAGTATAGAAGTTCTTTGCACAGCCTGTAGAGTACCAGCTTATGTACCACTCCAAATGGACAAAACATACAAGGTGCTTCTTCCATCTTTTCTGCAGCAGGGCGGAGATGGATACTACATGCTAAAGGAAAAATCACTGAGTCACAATTCTGGTAAGCATCGACGCTCCATATTGAACAAACAGCTAGCTCTTGCCAGCCCCCTGTGACCTTGGGCTCTCATTCCCCCCACTCCTCGCAGCATGCTGTGACACTCTGATCCTGGAACATCCATGGACCACAGATGATTTTGGACCAGAGTGTCCCAGTATACAATTGAAATCAAATTGTCAATCCCGTGGTTTCCTGGATCATCCCTCCCTTCCCCTCGCCTTTCTTAAAAATAGGAAGTACAGATTGCACCTCTCTAAACTGGAAAAGCGACGAGGAGTCCTGTGGCACCTTATAGACTAACTGAAGTGTAGGAGCATAAGCTTTCGTGGGCAAAGACCCACTTCGTCAGATGCATGGACATGCATGTCCATGCATCTGACGAAGTGGGTCTTTGCCCACGAAAGCTTATGCTCCTACACTTCAGTTAGTCTATAAGGTGCCACAGGACTCCTCGTCGCTTTTCCAGTTTAGAGAGGTGCAATCTGTACTTCCTATTTTTAAGAAAGGCGAGGGGAAGGGAGGGATGATCCAGGAAACCACGGGATTGACAATTTGATTTCAATTGTATACGAGGTCTTGGAACAAACTTTGAAAGAGAAAGTAATTAAGTATGTAGAGGTCAGTAGTAAGTGGGATAAAACACAACATGGTTTTACAAAAAGCTCACGCCGGGTAATCTTGTCTACTTCTTTGAGAAGATAACTAGTTTCTTAAACAATAGATATGTGATAGATCTAATCTACCTGGATTTCAGTAACACATTTGATACACAGTTCCACATGAGAAATTATTAAATTGGAGACTATGAGGATAATATGAGAATGGAAAGGTGGATAAAGAACTGGTTAAAGGAGAAACTATCATGGGTCATACTGAAAGACTGAAGTGTCAGGGTGGAGGGAGGTTACTAGTGGAGTTCCTTAAGGATCAGTCTTGGGACCGATCTTATTTAATCTTTTTTATTACTGACCTTGGTGCACAGAGTGTGTGGTAATGGAGATATTTCCAGGGCCTTTTGCAGCTTATGCCATGTGGAGGGAAACATTTCAAACAAAACCTTCAGCGCAGCTAGTGGAAAATTATAGGTAAAATGAGAGTTTGGAGTCACATGGACAAATCGCATGTCCATGCATAATTTTGCTTAGTCACAGCAGTGGCTATACTTCAGATGGAACATCCATAAGAGAATTCATTAAGTGTAGATGGGTATCTCCCATGGTCCATTGTAAGTTAGTGGCCTATCAAAAGGACACTTCAGTTTGAATAGTCCTTTCAAGATGTGCTGGCTAAGTACCTTCTGGGGGTTACCCCAGGAGCAAACGTTTGAAATACAGGTATAGAGCCAATACTCATCATTTCAAATCTAAAAATGATGCTTGCATACAAAGAACACAATCACATTTAGCACATCATCTGTGGTTGCAACACTGATCATATTTTAATCAAATATCACAATGTCCCATTGGCAACTGCCAATAGTAAAAAATGCCCAGTAATGGCAGGAGATGGAATACTACATGGGGAGGACTCTGAGTTACTGCAAAGAATTCTTTCCCAGGTATCTGCCTGCTGGGTCTTGCCCACAGGCTTATGATCTAACTGATTTCCATATTTAGGATCAGAAAGGAATTTTCCTTCAAGTTAGATTGGTAGAAAACTTGGTGGTTTTTCACCTTATTCTCCATCATGGGGCATGAGTCACTTGTAGGTTTAAATTAGTATAAATAATAAATTCTCTGTAACTTAGTCCTAAAATCATGATTTGTGGATGTCAGTAACTCTGTCAGAGATTAGCGTCTATTACAGGGTTGGGTGGATAGGTTCTGTGGCTTGCAATATGTAGAAAGTTAGATTATATAATCACCACAGTCCCTTATCACCTTAACCATAGATTCTCAGATGGGATCTCTTGGTCCTCAGCCATTTCAAAGTCAGTTAATCTATAGTTCCTTTGTCTTAGTTAGGCATCTGTGTACAAGGAAGCACACAGTTCCCAAACATAATAAAGACTTAACACCGGAACAGTACTTGGCATGATCTCTCAGCTCAGCATAACAATGCACAGTAGTAGAGCCTTTAGAAGTGAGTCATGATAACTGTGTAAACATGCTAGAAAACTGGATAAGCAAATGTAACTACTGCAAGGGCAGTGCTCTTCCCAGTACAGGCAGTCCCCGACTTACGTGGATCCGACTTATGTCGGATCCCTAGATACGAAGGGGGTGAGGCAACTCCCGCACATGCGCAGCAGCATTCCCGGGGCTCGCTCACCTGGGTCCTAGGATCCTCCTCCTCCTCGGGCCGGCTCCAACTGGGGTCCCGCAGAGCTGCCAGGCAGAGGAAAAGTGCCTCCCCACGCCTGCTGCCCCCCCTCCCCC